TTTCTGCATAAATTTTGATTAAAATTTGAGTAAATTAAATTTTTTTTTTATATATTAAAATTCGAGTCGATTAAAATTTATTTTTTCACATATTAAAATTTGAGTCAATTAAAATTCGATTCAAGCTAATTAATTTTTTATGTATTAAAATTCGACTCTATTAATTTTTTTTTGTGCATAAAATTCAAGTCAAATTGAGCTCAATATGAACTGTTAGCACTGATTGAAATTTAATTCTACTAGATTAAAATTTATATTTTTTTACTTATTAAAATTTGTGCTAATTAAAATTTGATTCAAATTGATTAAAATTCATTTTTACGTATTAAAATTTATATTTTTGTGATGATAAAAATTCAACTTGAATCAAATTTTAATCTGCTTAAATTTTAATACGTAAAAAAATTTATAAAACATGGAGAGTCTCATTGAAGATATATCTATTTAAAAAAAGTGTGGATAAAATTTTTTCTAAAATATATCAAGGGTAATTTAGTAAAATTATATTCTAGTTAAATACTTTAATCTGATAGGGGATGTTAATGAAGATTAAAAAATAGAAAAGATGTTTTTGAAAATATGATAAATTAAAAAAGTGGGTCTGAAATTTTCCCAAAATTTATTTCTTTCCAACCATGTACAATTTTTCTTACTTGACGGGACAAGTATAAAATTTGTTTTTAGTTTTTTTATTCAAAAAATGAAAAAAAATTAAAGAAAAACAATTCAAGAAAATGTTTTCATTCGAGCTTTTATTTATAAAATAATAATATTTATATATAAAAATTTAATCTAATTTATTGACATAATGGTATAATTTCATAGAAACTATTAGATTTTTTTTTTCAAAATAGAAAATATCACATCAATACTAAATTTTAATGTTTGATAAAGTCTACGATCTACTTAAAAGTTACATTAAATTAAATTAACAAATTATGTCATTAAATTACGCTCTAATATCGTTACTCTTACTCTCATTTATAACCAAATAATATGCTCACATACGTGTCAAAAACCCAGCTCGGGAGAAAGTTGAAACCAGGCGATTCTCTACTTTCTGATTCTCTTGATCTATCTATCTCCTGACAAAAAAAAAAAAAATCTCTCTCTCTCTCTCTCTCTGTGCGACCCAATAAAAACCCATTTGCATAATCCTATAATTTCAATCTTAATCACCATAAACTTCCTGTTCTGGCCATTTCATCATCTATTATCTTCTACTTGAAAGAAATCAAAGAATTCTCTCAACTTAACCAGAAAGCCTAACCCAACCCTAGATTTTTTTCGACAATACTCTACAAAAATGGACCTCACCACCACCCCCACCAAAACATCGGACACAGAAATTGATACCCCACCACCCGCTCTTCCCATTAAGCCCTTGTCCTTTACAATTACAAACGGTGCACCGAAGAAGCACCACCACCATCAACCACCGCCATCTGTGGTGGTGACATACCAAGAATGTCTCAAGAACCACGCGGCCAGTATAGGTGGCCACGCCTTGGATGGTTGTGGAGAGTTTATGCCCTCCTCCACCGCCAGCCCCACTGACCCTACCTCTCTGAAATGCGCCGCTTGTGGCTGCCACCGCAACTTCCACCGCCGTGGACCCGATGATTCCACCACCCACTTCCTTGACTTCCACCGCCACCTACCACCACCCCGCCACACCTCACCCTCACTCTCACCACCACCACAACCAACAAATTACTCATATGCACCCCAGATGTTACTGGCCCTCAGCACAGCTATGCCTGAAGACCAGCAGCATACAAACCACCACCACCAAGTGGTAGCGACACCACCAACACCACCCACGGCGGTGAAGGCGGATAACCCAAGTGCGAGGAAGCGATTCCGAACGAGATTCACCAAAATCCAGAAGGAGAAGATGTTTTCATTTTCGGAGAAGTTGGGTTGGACGATGCAAAAGTGTGATGAAGGTTTAATGGAAGAGTTCTGCAATGAGATTGGGGTCGCTAAAGGAGTCCTCAAGGTTTGGATGCACAACAACAAGCACACTTTGGGCAAGAGAAAGACCAACACCATCATTAACTATGGTTGTGTTAGCTTTGAAAACAATGGCAACACAATCAACAATGACGCCAACAGTCAACATCACAGCGACACTGGCGGTGCTCATCTTCAGATTTCCACCAATGGGTCGTCTTCTTCATCTTGATCTGATGAGAAAAAGTCCTAGAGAGAGAGAGAGGGCTGTTTGTTCTTTGGTGATTAACGAACACTAGTCACTGCTAAGGGTGGCGAAAAATTGAAAAAAAAAAAAAAAAGAGATGAGAAATAAAAAATCAAACAACTTTCAGAGGTTCAATTTATTTTGACTCAATTTATGTCTTCATAATTCTGTTCTCTTTTAGAAGTACAGTTTACCATTTTCAGTGGAATGAATGAGATATCATTTCCACCCAAATTTTCTTCAGTTTCTGACTTTGGCTTCTTTTTTTCCCCTCTCTCTCTTCTCTAATTTCTCTGTGTTTTTCGGGTGGCTTGGATACGGTTTTGGAGATTTCTGTGGAAAGTGGAAACTGTTGATTTGGTTCTCACATCAGAACCGGATCGATCGTCGCCGAGTCAATGATTTATTAGTTCAACCGTTAAGTTAACTGATCAAATCAGTCATATAATAAAAATATATATATAATAATTATAAAACTTAATAATTTAGCTAAAAATTATAAAATATGTATAAAATACATAAAATTTGCCATAAAATTAAGTAACAAAGTTAGGGTTATTGTATTTTAAAGCAAAGTCAAAAAGTTCAAGTAAATTATAAAGAAAAAGAAAGGGTGTCATCTATAATTTATCCAAGAATAAGGTTAAAAAAAAATCAACTGTTTACTGATTTAGGGGCAAAAAAATTTATTTATGTAATTTAATTTTTAAATAGGCATTAAACCGTCCGATTTTTCGATTTTTAGCCGGTTCACTTCCTTAGGCGGTTCATTAAAGAACCGGACCGATTAGGGTCTCGGTTTACGGTTGAACCGGTCCAACCAACCAGCTCGATCCAGTTCTGATAACACTGGCTGGGGTGTTTAAATTTTTGATTGGTCGTAATTTTTTATCCAATCTGATCTTATTCTAACCTATTGAAGGGTTAGTCGTAAAAATTGAGTAGGAATACAGAAAAATTTTTAATTTTTTAATTAAATCGGGTAGAAATACAAAATATTTATCAATTTCTGCATTTCAATTCTACCTTATCCACAAAAAATATACTTAATTTTTTTATATTTTTTTAGTAATTATAAAAGTATTTGTGTGGTATAATTTATATTATAACATTATTATTATTGTGAATGTTTGAGTTGCGAAAACATAGACTTATTTTTTGTGTAGGTTACATAATTTATGGTGAACTGATGATATATTAGAGCAGTTATGATTTTAATGTGTTTCATATTGTTTAAACTTAAAATAATTGTTATTGTATTTGTGTAATAATTATGATGAATTAATGTTCGTGCTTTCTCATGTTTTATTGTAATTGTTGTTGTAATTGTTTTAGATTTTAGTGTTTTGATTTATTGTATTGTTAAATTGGTGCATGTTATTTAATAAATTGTTAAAATGATCAAAACTTAATAGTTACAAACGTGTTTATCCAACTCATACTCGATTAATCAGATAGAAAGTCGGGTAAGAATACTACAACTGATCGGATAGAATAGGTTAAAAAAAATTATTCCACAAAATATCGGATAGAAAGACGAAAGACTATATTTTCTACCCTTTAGAGTGAACACTCTTAGCCATAGCCCACACTTGGTTGTCTAAAGTTTGATTATTCTTTTTTATTTATTTATTTTTTTGGCATAAGGTTCTTATTAATTACGGCTATCTGCGATTTTGTCTTGTTTCCTTTATTTGTAGAGCATGTATACTTATTCCAGTTGTGTATGAACACTTGTCCAAATAGGGGTTAATGGCATTGATAGGGCGTGGGTAGTAGGTAGGTATTTGAAATAAAACGACCCAATTAGACTTAAATTGATAATCTTATCCGTATTCTATTTTTTTATTAATAAGTTATGTCATATTAAATTAATATCTTGTATAAATCATGTATAACCGATAAATAAATAAGTCTTATTATTTATTTTTTTTGATTGACTCACTTATACCTGATTCGTTTATCAATCATGTCGTATTAGATCTAATCGTTTACGAAATTGATGATTCAAAGAAGACTCAAATCTTAAAATTTTGTATCGTGTTAACGAGTCATTTCATATTTTGTCATCCTTATCAATAATTATAATCCATTATATTAATAAATTAGATCTAAATAATATTTTCCAAACCCTAATCTTTCTCTTGATAATCATTGTTCATATATATTGTGGTAAATAATCATCTGGACAACCCTTCATATTGGCATGACTCCATGACAAGATCACACTTGTATCTGCACACATCAAGCTTTTATTCTCTCCACTTAATGTTAGTAGCTAGGGTGTCGAAGTGTCAAAGTTTTTCAAGATTAAGTATGTTTAGATTTACCTCGGTAAATTTCAATTATCAAGTTTATTGCAAAAGATCGACTAATATTCGAGTCAAACTCAATGTGAAAATACCAAGTTAATTTTTTAAAAAAAATCAAAATTCAAGATCCTCGAACTTAATAATTAGGGGTGTTAATCGAGCTGAATTCGAGTCTAATAGTTCAACTATTTACACATAAACGAGCTGGCTCGTTTGACTATTTACACATAAACGAGTTTAAAAAAATGTTCAAACTTGGCTTGTTTAACAGCCCTATTAATAACAATTCTAAAATAATCGTTTCTCAAAATATATATATATATATCAATCATAGAATCAATATTTTAAATTTTTTGACCAAACTACATGTTTGGATTCGTCTTGTTTACAAGATATACTTTAAACCAACCTGAACAAGTTAAAAACTAATTAAATCCTAACCAAACTTTGAGTTGCTCGAATTATTTTAATAACCCTAGATGTATTGGTAATCTTGAGAGAGAGAGAGAGAGAGAGAGAGAGCCTCATCTATCAAATAAAATAGTAGAGGAGCAACCAACCTAGATACATTAGGGTATTTTAATATTAGATATAATCTAATCTGAACTTCAAAGGCAAGCAGAGGCAGGCTTTGGTTGTCTGAAAAATACAATGGTGACAGAAGCACACCACTCTGCCACCTTTCCATTTTTGTTTGGTTACTAAAAACGGCAATCTTTGTTTTTCTTTTGTTAATGATGATATGAACAAGATAATATTGTTTTTTAATTGTTATTTAAAAAAATAATTATGAATATTATAAATTATACCCAACTCGCAAGAATTCCTGAATATATATTCTCCAAATACCCATAATTTTTTCTCAATTGAACACATTTCCCCCTTTGACTTTTATATATTTATGCAGTAACCCCATTCCTTTTTTCTTTTTAGTAACTTTGGCTTAGTATTGGCCCCTAATCAATTTTTTAAAAAAACAATTGATTGCACAGAACAATATGAAATGCCATGACTCATACATATTGATAATAAATAATAAATTTTTTTATTTAATACAAAAAAATTATATAATTACCCCTAACTTTTTTCGGTATGTTAACAAGGTTAAAAGGAACGACAAAATTCCTTTACCTAAAGTTGTATTTTCTGTTATTCAAAGAATTAATTTCCCAACAGGATGGAAGATCATGATTTTCTCTAGGTTGTAACAAAAAGAGTGATGATTTTATCACAACTTTTCTATTAGTTGGTATTTTTTTTATTTATGTTTGCCCCCCTCCCTCTAAACGATAATGCTGGCTCTGCTCCTGTTTAAAAGGCCTACTTAGAATCACTGTTAGTGTTAGTTTAATACTGGTGTGTCAAGGCCAAGTTTTGTTTCACTAAAATCCCAGCTACCCAAAATTGGGCATCATCAAATGAAGCAGTTCTCTCTGATGTATTGTCTACTTGATAAACTCATCAATTTCCGATGCCGAGTTATTATTGGTGTAATTTTCATTTCCAACTATGGTGCATGTAAACTTAGAAAAACTGGACAAAGCTGGTGGTTAGGCAAACGCCCCATTGTTTATGGTGTTGCAATATGAATCCAATAGATCATGCTCATGGGGACTGGGGAGGTGAGGGGTGCACAACGGTGGTAGACTTTGGGGGAAGCCCACCAAGGCTGGATTTTGGCCCGGGGGTATAAAAATGAGTTCATGCCACAATGAAGATCAGTTTTGTTGATGCATTTATTTTGAATGAGATGACTCAAAAATGACAATCTATTAATACGAATAATAAATATATTAGATTAGTGCAAAAATCAAATAAGTCCCATTTAATGATTATTGTATGGTGAAAATATTTGGTATTTTTATTTTGAATTTTTTAATTGCATTAGATTATGTCTGCAAATTTACTTATAACTTGAAGGGGGAAAGGAGAGAGGAGGGAGAGGAGGGGGGAAGACAACATTAAGGACTAGTTTTGAGAATCCATGATATGAAGGCTGCCAAGTTGATTCCAAATGGTTGATTTAAGTAAAACTTGTGATTCTTTAACATAATCTGACAATCCGAGACAAAATGAAATGAAATGAAAGTTATTAAATTGGAATTTCGTCTAAATGAAAGTTATAAAGTTTGAATTTTATCTTTGTGGGTTCAAATCGTTTCGAGATGACCAGTTAAACTCGTTTAGTAAATGAACTAAGACAATCTGGCTACATACACCATAGAGACCCCTCTAACAACATAAATCCGAGTATGTATGACTATAAATAGGTCCAGTATTGTTTGAATAGGTGAAGATGGTACAGAAAGTTATATAATTATCATTACTCAAACATGATACAACAGATTTTTTTCTATGTTATAAACAACCAATTGAATTTATACCTCCTATCTCTACAAAACAAACCCATCTCAGAGAGAAATGCATAACATAAATTAGGTCACAAATCCATGGACTCTTCTGCAGCATCTTGTTCAGCCTCATGACTGCAAAACCCACAAGAGTCATTAGCAGGGTAGAACTCTAAGCACTGATCAATTCTGTTCTCGATCCAAACCAATCTTCGCTCAAGATTCAATACTCCAACATGCATGATCCTAAGATCAACCTGCGCTGCTCTTGCACAAGAACGAAGTATAATGTAATAATCAGCATGGGCAGCATAAGCGTATGCACCTTCATCCTTCTTCCTCACATAATGAAGATAGTCTGACCTCTTAACATTAACCCTTGGAGGAATATAACAAAATTTATTTTCTTCCATGTTTGATTTTAGTCGTCTTATTGCTTTATCCTTGTAAGACTTCATAGAAGGTTGACCAACTGACAACGAATTTTGATCTTTTGAAGCGCAACTGCTCCAGCTCATGCTATGTTGCAACGAATCAGGCCCCGCCCCAAGTGAACTACCACCATCATATGATGGGTTAGTAGTACACCCATTCTCTTTTAATTTTTTATATTCCTTCGTACTTTTAGCGCCATATCTTGATCTCTTGTTGCACGAACCACTACTACATCCCAAAGGAGAAGCTCTTGCACCATCAGATGGCTCAACACTCTTTGATCAACAAAGAATACGAGTCCAATTAGAATTTATTCCTAACATGATCTCCAACTCATGCAAACATACCCACAGATCACAATATATCAAATTTTGTGAGTAAATAGGAAGCGAACTACATATCAAATGGCTTAAAAAACTAACAAAATGACTAAAAAAAAACTAACAAACAACCCTCGAGTAGTAGAAAGCAGACTACCAAAAAAAAAACCTCAAAGAAAAAGAATAAAAAAAACAAAACAAGCAACTTTCAAGCAACAAAAAATAAGCATATATGTGTATTAATGTCCTCAAAATATGTTAATTATAATAGTGATAAAGATCCCAATCAATGATCAAATAAATCATTGAAAATGGCGAGCAATGATCAAAGAAAACTCAACCCCCTCCAGAGTCTATGAAAAACCTAAGGAGAAAATAGAAAACAATGGAAACCTTCTAATTTGTATTTGGTACAAATTAAATAAATCAACATGTGATGCCTTCGAAACACGGTATTTGGTGGGTTGTTTGAAATATGTTATTTGGCGAGTGGAGGCCTAACCATGAGTCAATGAATGGTTGAAGTTAAAAGTGATAATCTTAACCTATTACCCATTATTCTGTCTATAAATAAATGGGTTAGGTACCTATATTAATTAATGTAGGTTCCAAATAGGTTGGGTAATAGGATTCATTTTAATTAAGCGAGTTAATATGAATTATAAATGGATACCCATTAGGTTGACTATTTATCTTTCTATTAAATAAATCAAATAAATATACTAATATACCAAAAAATATACACATACTAGTCCACCAAAAAATTCACACATACTAGTCCACCAAAAGCACACACACTAATACAATCAACCCAACCCGTGACCCTTGTATTTGTGGTTTTTTTGTGTTAGTATATGTGTGCATATTTTTGGTGTATTAGTGTGTGCTTTAGTCTATTAATGTGTATATATTTTTTGTGTATTAGTATGTGTTCATATTAAGAGTTTTAATTATTTTATGAGTTAATTGGTTTAATCCAACCCATTATAACCCGTTCATTAAGCGGGTTAAAAATGGATTGAATTTGTTTTGCATCCAACCTATCTTGAACTAACTAACCCATACCCAACCCAAACCACCCATTTGCCACCTCTAGTTGAAGTGTCTCAAAGTTTTGCCAGATTTTAAGGGTTGAAAATCCAAGCCAATAAATGTCATTCATAGACACATGTCAATCAAAGAAAAAATAATTAGTAATTTTGAGCCAAAATACCTTTTGACTTTGATAGAAATCCCAAAAATCTTCTATTATCTTCTCTTCCTCATGATCCTCAAATGAGGGCTCTAATCCAGCAAAAACCACGTCTTTACAGTATTGAAGATATGTTGGCAAGTCTTTGGAATAATCTGCCAAAAGAACAAAAGTAAGGCAAGTCAATTAAAAAATAAAAACAAAATAGCCAATCAACCTAACCTTGAATTGCATTACTCAATAACGTTACCATATGTGTCAGCAAGGTCATCGTACTTCGCTTCAAGTTTCAGCAGGAGCTCTGCAACATTCAACTCAGATTGCAGAACATCAAACCTGTTGTCGCATGGCACTGAAGCCAGATCATCCGAATCATTAGAAGACACACCCTCGTTAGCATCATCATTAAGGCCGGAATTGAATTTGGTGTCTGTTTCTCCATTTTGGTTAGGTGATGACGAACAATTGGAATTAGACAGTTCCATTTCCCATTTCCCAAAACCATTGATGTTATACAAAATCCTTATAGTTACAATTAGTATAGCCATCACACAAACACGAGAAGGAAGCCTCCCCTCATTTGTTGATAACCACAACTCTGCAGGTATAGACCACTCATAGAGGCAGCATGCCTGAGGAAGAATGTTTTCCACGGGAAGAGATAATTGTCTAAGATAGCGAGAAGCTATTGCATAGAAGTTCACTGGAGGTAATTCTAGGCCAATTGTCTGAGCAATAGATGCTGCTGTTGATTCCAGCTTTTGCAACGAAATAGCTTGGGTAGGTCTAAACATACGACTCGTACTGAATGGACATGCAACAGAAGGAGGTCCAAGTTGTTTCTCGATTTCAACAAAAGCAGCAAAATATGGAAGCTTACCTTCAAGTGCCCACTTCAATATATCTGTCGGCAGGACTGCCTCCCTTGCCATATGACAAACCAGAAAAGAAATCACTAAAGAATAAGGTAAAGGTATTGTCTTGCTCAAAGATCTATACCATATCAATACTACACGTTGACCAAGTATATTATGAGGCTCCGCTCTGTGTTTTGCACTGGGCTGAAAGTCATCTGCTTGCCCTGAAACGAAAGATGAAAAGAACATAGGAAAGTAACAAAACAAATAATCCATGAGAATACAAATTAGTATAAAGAAAATTTCCATTCCAAAATGAGTTGGACCAAAAAAATCATTAGATATGGAAGCAGTCAACTCACATATAACAGACATTTTCAAGAAGACGCTGTAAATGATACGTTTTTTCCCAACAAAACTGTAAATGATACTTAAGCACAACTAACACATTAGAAATCCATTGACTTAGATAATAGAACTCAACTGGTAACATCACTTATACACACTTGCACCAATAGATGTGCAAAGAACAGGTGTTGTAGATCTGTCTGTCTAGCTCGTTCATAATTTCATACATAAAGAATTGTGGAGTCAAACAATCCTTAGCAAATATGCTTTACAGTAAATATGTGCATAAGCAATAATACATAAATCATAACGCCAAAATCTCTTTACATAAAATGATCATACCAAGATTGACTGCAATATAAAGTTTCACAGGTGATGAAAAATTGGGTTAGTAGTACTTCTAGTAACCTTTTGAATACTTACCAATCACCAGGATATTAGAAACTAATAACTGCAAGAATCACTTAGAAAATCGAAGTATGATTTTTTTCTTAAAAGAAAATTAGAATATCGACTAAATATTACAGTGCTCCATGAAAGATTTTTAGTGATTTTCCAGAGAAAAAAGGGCCTCTTGACAAAAAATGAAACTAATGCAAGAAAAACAAATTCATTTCTAGCAAAATTTAGAATGGGTGGGTAAATAGAATTTGAACATCACTTCAGAAATTTTGGACAAACTAAATTCGAATTGAATAGTCTATTATCAATCTATGAGTAATGTTCACCTAGTCTAGCATGCTGAACCCACAAGGCACAGTTCACAATCAAGTCTACATTATTTCTTTCTTTCTGTGATCTTATGCTAAATCACCATCCAGTCCCAATATTCTTGATAAGCAGATATCACAAAACTCAGAGTAACATATGATAATATTCTATCCTATAATGATCCAAAGTTCGATACAGAGACGGAAATGAAAAAAAAAAAACGAACATTGATGCACCATGATCTTTGGCCTAGGCAATGATATCAAGTGAATTATTCAAATGAATCATTCTACTTCCTCATTGTTTGGCTCAATAACACATTACCTTCAAGCACTTTAAAGCCTACGCATAACCTTGTTGGTGTTTGGAGCAAAACTACAAACTGAAATAACAAAATGGTAATAGTACCCCTTTTTAAAAGCATGTCCCTCATCTAAACTGTCTCTTTCTATCCATATTTCCGGCTTACTCTCTCACCTTCCATAAAACCCATGCACTCACAACATTTTTTGAAGACAAAAACTCTCTCTACATTTATGGATGTGTATATATGCATATAAAAGCATATTACATACACCCCCACCCACACACAAAATGGACACCTCTCTCTCTCTCTCTCTCTCTCTCTCTCTCCTTATATCTATATATATGCAGAGGTGTATTTTTATGCTTTAAGATAAAAATTTGGGAGGAAACCAATCCCCCCATGCACATAACACTTCTATGGTGCATGTGGTACACCTTCCATCAATTTCTACTTGGTCCAGAAATACAAAAGGTTATGTATATGTTTTTAAAGTATAAAAAGTTAAATGTGTTATTGGTTCAAACCATGTAAAGCAAAAAAGTATTCAACCAAACCAAAAACCTTTGGTTTATTTGTCAAGGCTAGGCTCATGCTCATTTACACAATCATAACTTTCAACATTTCTATATACTGTATAGAGCTCACTGCAAACTACAGTCACAATAATCCTGTAAAACAAACAATATACAACCAAATTGAAGTATACAAACATCATTCACATGAGACCAAAGTCTTCATCATATAAGCAATAAATAAGCAATGCTTGACAACAAAAAATATATCATAGGTACACATACACCTTATATTATATGCACACAAAAGAATAAACTATATACCTTGTTTCTGAGATTCTGACTCATGAATGACCTGATCAGCCCACCCATCATCAAAAACCCTTGTAATCGCCACAAACCTCATCCAAATGGGCCCAATCAGCCCAACTATCAATGGACTGACATTGAACTTCTCAACCAAAGCCTTACACTGCAACTGAATCATAATCTGAATCCCCATCACATACCTCAACCTTATCTCCTCATAATACTCCTCATATCCCACTGTCCTTGATCCTGATGTTCCAAAATCACTAGGCCCAGTAGGCCCAATACCATCACCCTCATTATCATCCTCCTCTAGGGCTCTAATTGAATCCCAGAATTGGGATTGATGGGCTTGTTGAAAGTGAGAAATGCGTTCTGCTGCAGAGACCGTGGTAGGAACACTTCGACGGTGACTAGCCAAGTAAATTGCATTCTCACCGAGGTCTTCGTCGGCCACAGCGGTGTCAATGATATCCTCAGCTTGTGAGCCACAACGGGTACAGTAAAAGAAGCCATCGGAGCCGTCATCGAAGCCAATGCTGCCGCACACTTGGCAGGTCCAGTCCAACCTCTCCGACATTCTTTAACATATAGATACAAATAGGTATTATCCTGAATGGACCCTCTGCATATATCTGATTATCTGTTCAATTGGGATTTTTTGAAAAATAGCAATTTTTCTGGAAGCTCACTAAATTCTAGATGTTGAAGAAAGAATGGGACTTTAGGTGGTTGTGGTTTTTATTTGGAATTAAAGAGCTGAATTCCAAGACTCAGAAAGCCCAAAATCAAAATTTAATGCAGGGTGAAAATAAAATTCTAGCTTCTATGGTGATTAGAAGATCTGTTCCAAGTCAAAAGTAGGGCGATTGGAGAATACAAAGAGACTGGCAATTTTGGAGCAACAGTTTGTTTGCATAAACTGAGAGGCAGAGAGACAGTGAGAGACCAGCAATAAGGGTGCAAACTCGTGTGGGTTGGACAGGTAAAGGGTAACGTCTACTCTCAACCAAACCCAACCTCAAACCAAAAAATAACTCAGCCCGAACATTAACACAAGCGCAACCTGGGACTATATTTTAGTATTTGGGTACGAAATTCAGACAACAGTCCTTGTTTGTTTCGGGTATCAACTCAATTTCCATAGACAAAAAAGGGGGTTTCGCGGAGACCTATAATGTACCTCTAGAGAGAGAATACCTGGAAACTTCAGATCAGATGAGGTTTGTTGCTTCCTTCGTATCTTTGTCCTTAAACTTGAGAAACAATACCTACAAATTAGCACCAGCAATTATCACAATTCAATCTGAGCTCATTGCTTTTCAAAAAAAATTGGCAATATTTACTCTGAAAATAGGACTCTAGACCAATTATTGGACTCACCATCACGCCCGGGTCCTACTTAGATGCTTTCAAAAAACTGCAACATCTACAAATTAATAATAAACTTGCAAATGAGAAATATATCATTAAAATCAATATTACCAAATCCAAACAAACAAATGTCTACTTTGCACCAAATCAAGATATATCAATGAGATAATGTAACTACTCTTCACTCTCACGAAGCAATCTATGACAAATGGTAACATGAAAAAATAAAAAATAAAGAACCCTTGCATTGTAACCTGGGAATGGTCAATTATGACAATAGAGAACACTTCAAAATAACTGTGATCAAATGCATGGCGCAAACTCAAGCCGCGGACACAGATGAGATATACCAAATATTAATAACAAAACAAAAACTATTCAAATAAGAGAACAAATTTCATAATCACTAAGCCGAAGTTTATAAGGAAAACATTAAATACAAAATTAAAGGACAAAAAGAATTAAATAAAGTAAACCATAATCTAAGAATGTAAGTAAACTCAAAATTCAAATCTCTAAAACATATGACTCTTTATAATTCGGAACCTAACCCTAACAAAAAAATTTTTACTTCATTGAAGCAAGTTATTCATTCTATTAATCTAACATTTTCAAAGTAAAATCACAGGAAACACTGTTACAAATTTTACTGTCTATTCATATCCATGCTTTCTCAGCAACCAAACAAAACCTTGTACAACTTCTTTTACCCCATTGAATCATTCAAATTAACTAAGAACTTTATGATCTCAAAACCCAATAAGAAATTGGGTTAGCCTGCCACATTGTAGATTTATAGTGAGATCCCAGCTAAAACCAACTTAGAGAATCAACATTTAATAGTATACAACCATCAAAATAAAATATCCCAGTACAGAAATTTGAAAATGGTGATAGCAAACCAAGACTATTTTAAAAATCAACCAAGGATTGGTGTACTTTGAATATGAAATACAATTACAATCAAGGATTATCGTTTAAAGATAATACCTGGCCGAGAGAGGTTTCGCCGCCGTTGGTGGATGGCGTCACTGGTGGCGTTGGTGGAGCTGGGACTCAGTGGTTTGGGATATGGATCCTCACCTTTGAGAAAGAGAGTTATCTGATAAGTTTAGATGTTTATGTAAACCAAAGCCATCAATTTTCCCAAATTATGCAAAAGAAGCCCTCAATCTCGCCGGGTCACACAGAAAAAATATGTTTGAATACCTAATGAATTGCATAGAAATACACCCAAATCAGAAATTCTAACCCAAATTAATAGCCAAGTGTATGAACTTTGGTATACCATTGCAGCAAACCACCGACATTTTAGCGTCGGGTTCCAGGGGTATTTGGAATTTTTTGGTTTCGGAGGAGTGGAACTGGCAGAACAGGTGACACAGAATAGGTGGTGGTGGAGGTCTGGGTGATTTTTACGGTTGCTGTTTTGGCTGTGGAGGTGGGTGGGTTCGGGAGACTCGGCTCGAACTCATTCAATTATCAACCTTAGTTAAGACTCTATGTATTTACCCTTAATTTGTATATTTATAGCATTTTTTATATTGTTTTGGATATGAATGTGATATAAAATCCAATTGACCTACGATTTTTATTTTTCTTGATTGGTCTTATGCAAATAGATATTAATGTATCAACTTATTTTTATCAGTTGAGAGAAATAAATTAAAACTTATAGTAAAAATATTCGAAATGGGACAAAATTCTAACTCTCCATCGCTAGTTTTACTTGGATAATATTGGGGTCAAATGCCTGCCTTGAACGAAGATGAACAAAGACTCCTTAGGACGTGAAGTTAGGATCTTGGCCTACTCTATTTGCCAACAACCTTCTTGCGCGGTTGGCAACCACTCGTTGTGCGGCTCTAGGCAGACGTTTATGGGTCTGTTATGTTACAATTGGGTCAGACATAGGAGGTTTACTAATCCAAGAGCACAGTCCATAGAATAATGGCCTAAGTTTGATTGTGCTCAATACTGAGTGCCCAACCACGACAACGAGGATCCCTTGTTGATATAACTAAAAGTGGGTGGAATCGTCTCTTAAGCAATGATCGGTTTGTCATTAACCACGATGATGACACCGGTGTCAATAAAAAAACATCTTCCTATATTTCATTCAGATGGGTTGAACAATTCAAAACAAACCCACAATTGAATTAGAAATCCATTATCTTAAAAATAAAAATAAAAAATTAGATACCCATTATCCGACTCTTACAATGACATCTTTCCAAGGATGACACTTCTATTTGTCTACATGAGATTAGTATGCATTTTCTAACTAAGCTATCTTCTATGATATGACAATCAAAGCTATGATGGTTTAGTAGAAATTTTGGTTATCTATATCTAGACTACTTTAAAATAACATAATATATGAAAAACTTTTTTTCCCATCTTTACCCTTCAAAAATATAATTATGTCCATCATATCCTTCATATTTAATGTCTTACAAACTTTAATGCCACAAAACCACTAATGCCAATACTTTTCTTTTTAAGTTCTAATAATAACATCAATATTATCTGAAATTATAACTGTTATGGGTTGTTATATTGTTGGGTTATTGTTTTAATGCCAATATGGGTTATTGTTTTGACTATTGGGATGCTATAACATATTTATATTCATTTATAGCTATTTAATTGTATCTATATATCTATATGTACATACTATATATAACGGTCAACTAATTCGAAAAACTTTTGATTCTCTATTTTAAACATATTCAATACAAAAAATCACTTATATCCTTAATCCGATAATAAATATTTTAACCTTTTGTCTTCTATACTAAATATTCTTAATCCAACATAATTGATCTATAACTTTTTAGAGTTCCAAACTACTACTCCTCTGCACAGTTTTGGAGCCTGCAGCCAAAGAACTTATTTAATGCTGAGTGGTGGTAGAAGAAATGTGTCATCCAACTTTACTTTCACCTTTGATTCAAAGCTACCCTTCACGCTTTGATATTGCCACCGCTCTCTGATTCTTAATTATTTCAATTTCAATTCTGAATTTTGTTTGAATTTAGCGTTCTACTGGGAGGTCCATTTCAAAGTCCCTCCTGAGACCAACACTGTCATCACCAATGGTACCGGTATGCACCTGCCTACTTTGTATATATTTATACGTATGTACTCATACAAAATATTATGTAGGTGTACGTGCAATGTAGTTTTGTGGAAACGTTTTCGTTTTTATATTTTCTATATAAAAAAACATAAAATTAGTTTTTGTTTTTCTGTAATAAAAAATATAAAACATATTTGTTAGTCATTTACATCTAAAAAATTATGAAAACAAAAATAAAAAACATGTTTGGTATAATACTGAAAATCTATCCCCCAACACCACCAAACCCACCCCCACCAACAACCCACATCCAAAATCCACAACCACCAGCAGCCACCCAACCACCACCAAAACCCTACCGAAATATCACCCGCCACCAAAATCCACCACTACCCAGTCACCCAACACCTAACCACGCAAAACCCACCACCAAAGGACACCCAACCACCACCAAAACCCCACCGAAACATCACTAGCCACCAAAACCCACCACCACCCAACACCTAACCACGCAATACTCACCACCTAAACCCACCACCAACAACCACCGAAAACCCACCCCCAACCCCTGCAATCCACCACCCCCGAAAACCCACCCCCACCAACAACCACTCAACACCTCCGAAACCCACCCACCCAANAAAAAAGAAAAGCAAATGAAGCCCAATAAATGAAATTTAAAAACACTACGACGTTTTTAAGTTAAAAATGTCAATTTAATTAATATTTTTAAAAATTATGTGAGTTCGAGAAATAGTTTTAAAATTATCTTATTTTAAAAATTATTTTTTTAAATCACATGAGTTCGGTAAAAAGATTCACGCCAACATATAACTTGTCATATTATGGTACATTTGGCAACATTTTTGTTTTTATATATATTTTTTTATAAAAAAAAAAAAACTAGTTTTTGTTTTTTTGTAATAAAAAATAAAAAATCTAAAACATATTTGATAGTCATTTATATTTAAAAAATTTATGAAAACAAAAATAAAAAATATGTTTGATATTATACCAAAAATTTATACTCCAACACCACCGCCAACCACCCACACCCAAAACCCAAACCGAAACATTACTCACCACCAAAATCCACCAGCCAGCCAGCCAGCAAAACCCACCACCCCCTAAAACCCAACACCCCCGAAATCCCCTGAAACCCACCTCTCTCTTTCTCGTTCTCTCTCTCACACACTCAAACACACATTCACACACAAATCTAACCAAATATAACAATATATACATAGACCTAGGGCTATATATGTATATATATATATATACAGACAGTATATATAATTAGATCTAGGGCTTGGAGGTACGTAGAGAGCTCGATGGAGATGGAGTGAATCTGACCTTGGAGATGGAGTGCTGGCTTCTGGATCCGAGAGCTCCTTCGCAGCGATTGGCGATGGCATTTTACGCCTGGGTTCGTCGTTGGCGTCGAGAGAGACGACAGAAAGAGGAGGCAGAAAGAGGGGCGACAGAGAAAATCCATTTTTTGTTGCTAAGGAGAATCGAAGCCAAGTCATTAACTTCTTTTGAACCGCGCGTTTGGGTTTTTTTTTTTTTTTTCTTTTTTATGTATTCAAAAATACCATTTTGAATATTTTCATATTTTAACTTTATTTTTAAAACGAACACATAAACCAAATGCCATTTTATTTTTTTTAGCCATAAAATAAAAAAATATATATATATGAGGTTATCAATTGACAGCTTAGTTTAGCTGGTGTCATGGATTTGTTAAGCATTATAGGCCTATTTAGTTTGCATTTCAGAAAATAGTATCTGAAAATAATTTTTGGAAAAAGTTTTAGAGAAGTGTATTTTTGTGTTTTCTTAAACGAAAAATTTGTTTGGTTATATGATTTCAAAAACAATTTTACAGAACAAAAAATAATAAAACATATTTGGATAGTAACATAAAAAACAATGAAAACAGAAATACTGTTTGGATTGACTGTTTGATATACAATGTTTTCAAATTATTAACTTGATAAAAACTAACATAAATCATACTATAGTAAAAAAAATTGTTTGTACACATACACAAATATACTTATTGAAGTGAATACTTATCGTACTCATAGTATCATAATACACGTTCTAAATACACACCATTATTCATTCTAATATATATATTATTATTATTTTCTTTATTTCCACTTCACTTTTAACTATTATTTTCTTTCTAATCAAACTAGCAAAGGTGTCTGATGCAGTCCAAGAAACTGTGAAAAAATGTGAAGAGAAAACAACAATAATAATCATGAAAATGCTATGGATGGACAAAATCCTAGTGATCTCTCATACCCTGTGCTTTCCTTACTTGAACACACCCCACATACCTTCGCTGCTATGTTGGGAACCAAGGAAAAGAATGAGCCTACTTCAACCTTGAAGTCTCCGAAATAATACTCGTGGGTTGATGATCCATTTCTCAATTTAAGAGGCCACATAATGGAAAGCTAGATATGATCTGTACAGAACTAGAGCTTACAAGTCATGCAATTCAGAAACACTCCATGAGCTCCTTCATGACAAAACAGTAGCAACATGCCACAACTCACATGAATGGCCAAAAGACATTGAAACAACAAAAGCAATGTCAATGTAGCTCCAGGGAAAAAGTGTCCATGAAACAGTTGATCAAACAAGACAGAGTAACAAAACACAAGCAAATACGAAAGTTATGAGATGAAAACTGCAACTGGAAAGGAAAGAAGACTTTTACTTCAAGAATGCTTGGTGACAGTCAACCTCCAAAAGCTATAATATAATGCCAATCCTTTCTACTCCAGAATTCCAGCTTGTTTGTAGCTTTCAACGGAATGCACCAGAGTTTCTTCAACTGCCTTGTAACTCCAACCCAACTTCTGCAATTTCTCTGAACTCAGTTCATCACCTTCATTTCCCTCGATAAAACTGCCAATAAATGAAACAAATAAGACAAACCAACAAAAACAAGCAAACATCTCACCGAAGATCAAACCAGAATCATACTTAAACCATCCAAAAAGGTTGGGTGACCTTAATCAAACAATTGCCAAAACACCAAGTCCACAGACATGAGCAAGCAGATCAGAAAACTGACTCCTCCCATAATGCAGAAAGTTATCAGCTTAACCACTGCCAATACAAGCCTATCATCAGCTCATCCCCAGCTAAGCACCTTTCAACAGCCCAAGAAACAGCTAAGCAAAACACAGACTGCCTGCAAATAGCCCAAACCTGAACCTGCATCCTTCAGCTGCTAAATTTCAACTACTGCTAACAACAGTCAAGCAAAAGACCACCTTCCATCAAACACCATCAACATTCAGTTTCAACATGGACCCAGGAGGAGGATCCCATTTTATCCACATAACACTAGTCATAACAGAACATCACACATAAATATTTTTTTTATGAACTTTATTTTTTAGAAAAAGAAAATTTTTATTGCATGAAAATCAAAAATTACAAGAAGCAAAAACTGAAACTGTTTAAGCAAAACAGTAGCAGTTAAACAAACAATACAGTAACTATACAGAAAACAGAAAAAAAATTCTGTTATCCACAATATGTCCTGTACAACAACTATTTTCCAGCTCCTGCTCTAACTGATCACTACAGCTTCAGACCAGTTCCTCTTCCAAAAGCAAACCAGCAGCATTCAGCAACAGCGGCTCAGCAACTCAGCAGAAAGAAGACAGTAGCAGCAAACCTCTAGCTGCTAACTGGCATCACTTCCTTTAACCCCATAGTACTGCACCTGCACCTTTGGTCAGCTCAACTCACAAGAGCACAGCATGAGCAAAACACAGCACAGCATCACCCAGCTAGAACAGTTCTGCAGAAGCAATGCAGACCAGTAAAACACAGAAAGGCCATCCTCATCATGCAGGGCTACAACAAAACAGCACAACTGACCCAACAACCATCCATTACTGACTGCCCAACAGCAGTGCAGCAAAGAACACAGCAGAGCCAGATCATAAGAGCTCAAAGCCATAAAGCTACAATTTCTTCATGGCTTCCTAGCTCGAAACTTGGTGGGTTTGTAATTTGACTAATATAATAAATTCAGTTCACTATCATTTACACACGCAATCATTTACACTTGGTATCACAATTCGTTGTTATAATTCGTTATTACAATAGATAAATGAATTCGAGAATACCAACGTGCTAATTAACTGCTCATTCTTTTCAAACAAAGATAAACTTGACCAACTATGATTCTATTTTCCAGAACAGTAGAGCTTGTGGAAGCAATTCTGCAGGGAAGGAATGGGTCAGTCTTCTGCTATGGTGCAACGGGAGCTGGGAAGACGTACACAATGCTTGGTACAGTAGAGAGTCCAGGGGTGATGGTTTCGGCAAAAAAAGATCTTTTCAACAAAATACTTAAACCCAAAAATACTTCAAAAAAAAACCCAGATCTGTTACCGAAAATAGCAGAGTAGAAGAGTCACAGAAGTTGTTAGGCAAAAAAAAAACCAGAGTCACCGGAGTTGTTATCGAAAATAGCAGAGTACCAGATCTGTTATCGAAAATAGCAGAGTATCAGATCTATTATCGAAAAAAACCAAATCTTTCACCGGTATATCAGACGAGCAGAGTCACCGGAGATCTGATATACTAGGACATCATAATCGGTTCGCCGGAGTTGTTAGACAACAGATCTGTTATAGATCTGAAGGTAAAAACGAAAAAAGCCAACAAATCTAACAAATTAAAAAATCAATGCAAAAAAAACAGATCTATGGGTTACCTGTCGTCGGAGAAACGCCTGTGATTCGCCGGAGTAACGTCGTTGATTCGCTGGATATGGCTTCTGTTCTTCGCCAGAGTTCAAGTGAAGTGAAGAAGATGGCTGAGCAGGGCAAATGATGGGAGAGGATGAAAAAAAGAAGGCACATTTTATACTCCGTCTATAAATGTACAATACTCTTCCCTCCGTGTTTTCAAAATTTTTAAGGAAATTTTCAGAAAACAACTCTGGCTTGTTCCCGGATTTTTGTGTTTCAAAACTCAATTTTTTTGAAAATTTTGAGAACAAAAATCTTAAACAAATAAATTTTTGATGTTTTTAAAATTTTAAAAACAAAAAACTGTTTTACAAATGCTAACCAAACATCGCCGTAATTTTTTGTGCTTCAATTTTAGGGAATCGTGAATTCTTGATCACTTGTAAATTAGTGTGCTATATGAACAAGGCTAGGATACGATTATTTGATAGTGACATAGCGTTAGGAAATTAAATTAGAATAGGAAAATTAATTAATTTATTTATATGCAGGTGGTGCTTAAATCAAAAACTTAGCAAAGTGCAGGTATTTTAAGTTTTACGTTTCCAATTACCCTTTTTGAATTTCTATGTTATTAAATTATTATATGTGTATTGTATGCAGATGCACCGTGAGAATTTAAAATAGATCAAGTGCTTTCGCCAACTCCATTGCTACATTTTCCAACTATATTGTGCACAGCCTTATTGTTTTAATTCTTATTAAACTTTTCCCTTGATCAATTCAATTAACTAAGTGAATCGAAAGTACTTGTATGTAAATTTAGTAGGGAAGTTTGGTTTTCAATTTTTGAGTAAGAGGAGTTAGATGAAAAAGTTTTATCTCCTTTTTGAATAGTCTTAGTTTCTTAGAATTTATTTTATTTATTTTTTATCACATATACTAGATAACAAAAAATACCAAAATCTTTAGTAGAAATGATAACGAGCTAGAAAATGGTCCCTAAATAAAGAAAATTTTATTCATAATCCACAATATATACAACATTATCCCAAAAGAATATGCTCAACCTTGACAATTACATCCCAAAAATTAACTATTATTTTGCAGCGGAATAACAAAAAAATTAAACTTCATATTGTCTCAAAATGAATTTTTTATTCTAGAACATAAGAGAATATAGCTCTAAACATCCACCACAGGATCCAAGTTCCCATCTATTGGAACTTCCCAATGTATCGGCTCATCAACTCTATGCTCTTCCTCTAAACCATAATCTGAAAAAAAAAAATATTATTTGTAGGGGGTGAGCACTAAGCTCTGTAAGAAAATCTTCTCAAACTCAAACAAAATTTCAAAAACATATAAAACAGTTGATTTCATTTTACAAATATCATATATAGCTTTTGAAAAAAAACAGGAACATTTCAATATATCTCAAGTTTACACAATAGCAGTAATTAAATGAAAAAGAAAAACCAATTCCCAACAATAATAATTTCCAACAAGTTACAATTTCCACAAAAACCAATTTCATAACAACACAAATTCCACCATAAACTCTTTTCCATAATGGACCATAACCAACCATTTACACAATAAACAATAGCCCACAATGTATATCAAACAACAACTTGTATCTCTATCTATACTTGTATCTCAGGTATGATGTATAATATCGCATAAATAAACACATCGAGAATATACTGGCTCACACACACACACCTAATCCTCGCAAGGATATCAAACTTTTAGGAAGGGTGTATACCAACGCATTGGCAATGACGAATCCAACCCAAGAATAGTATACTAACCCTCATCCTTGTTATCCCGTGAGCGAATAATGGTTTAGTCCTTACAAGGCACTAACCCCACTACAAGTGATAAAAAAAATTCAAACCCCGCACGGAGTAAGAAACACATCTACCCACTCTACGATACCCGGTCAACGGCCACCCATGGTCATCCAAACATCCACAAGAGATACAATACCCAACCAATTTCTCTAATCCCAAGTAAAATTCAAAATCCCCAAATTTTACATGTATTATTCCAATAGAAAATTTTAAGACAATATGAAAGAGATCATCAAAAATATCATTTTATTATTCAATACCAAGCACTAGAGTTTTTAAATCAAGATCAAAATAAAAAATCAAGACAAAAATCAATTTCTCTTGAAAAACTAGGTTTTGATGTCAAAACAAAGGTTTTTATGGCTTTCAACCCACAATTTCACTCAAAACATGAAAAGGTTTGTAAGGGCATCAAGAAATAATAATTTCATACCATATATCTAAGATTTAGAAGCAAAACATACATAGATATAAATTCTAACCTCAATTGACAAGAGTTAGAAAAAACCTCTACCTTTCTTCTTCCTTGGTGTTCTTGAAAAACTTGGAGCTTTGATCCACTTCAATGTGAAAATCCCTCTTGATCTTGTGTTTTTCCCCTTATTTCTTCCTCTCTAAGCCTCTCTAAAGTTATAAATGTTGAAATGGGGCTATTAGAGGTGCCCTTATATATTTATAGGGCGAGAAGTGGCCTCCTGTGCGTGATTCTGAAACCCAGATTTCGTAACTCACGTTCGAACGTCACTTGCTCCCGGTACTTTTTGTTTTTCCATCAGACAAGAGTATTGGAACGCACTGTTATTCGAACGAACTTCCTGTTTCTGCTGAAACGTCCAATGAAGTTTGGCCTATTTAGAGGTTGATTTGAAAATTTTTTGTAAAATATACTTTTGTAGCCTTGAAAGTCTACTATCTACTGTAAACATTTCAGCTAAAACAGACACCAGGGTAAAAAGTTATGGTCCAAATACTATGCAGTGTCCAAAATCCTTTCTACCCAAATTTTATCTAAAATGTGTTTGAACTCCAGAATACTTTCTAACTTCCAATTCATATCCTATTACTTTAACTAAAATTTTTATTTCTACTCTTACAATCCACATAGTTCATGCGTACATCATCACATATATTAGCATTTCAAAAATAATTACGTTGCTATATAAAGATATAAATGTGAGGATTTACACATATATGAGTATATACTTTGTTTCTCATTAGGATTTGTGAGTTATATACTTCATTCCATAGGCAATTTATCACTCAATATCCATTTCATGTTTATGTAAATAGCAAATAGCATAAAACCACCTTCAAATATACCTTCTCAAAGATGCTCCAATCTTGAACAAATAAATTTATAAATGTGTATCATAACAAATTGAAAAAAATTATAACTCAAAATTATTCATGTGCAACACACGTATGTACCAACTAGTAAATACTAAATACCTTGTAGAGGACTAGGGATTTTAGCTCTATTTTGTTTCTCTAAATACTTTAGAAGTATGTTTTATAAAATTCATCTTGAAAAGTTCATCCATGGAACTAACTTTTAATTTTAGAAGTTACATTAAATGCAATTTATGTAATTATCTTTTGAATTAAGAGAGAAAAAAAGGAAGGCACATCCTCATTTAACTGTTGTTTGTTCATTCCCGAGAGGAGTAACGGGCGAGGTCAAGAGCCTCATAATCCCACTAGTAGAATCTATCAGAGTGGTCTTTTGCCCCACCTCTTTTTTCAATAGCAAAAAAAAAAAAAACAAAGTGTTGTTTGTTATTGTTCTAAAAGTACTTTTTTTTTTAAGTTTTTTAAAAAAAAAAAAAATTAATTTTGCCCGTTCAAATAAAATTATATTGAGGGTTAATAATAACATTTTTTAGTCCCTAAAATATGTATTTTTTATCAGTTTAATCCTCAATGTATCAATGTTATCAATTTAATCTCTAAAGTATTTAATTCGTGTCATTTTGGTCCCTACATGGATAGAGAGTTAAGTTTTCAACGAAATAATCACGTGTTGGGCATATGATACTGTCTAAAAAAATTATACGTGGTCATTTCCGTCAAAAAATTTAACAGTCTGTCCATGCAGAGACTAAAATGACACGAATTGAATACTTTAGTGATCAAATTAATAAAATTAATATATTGAAGACTAAATTGACATAAAAAACATAATTATCCCAAATCTACACAGAAACAGTTAAACATTATCTATACTACTTTAAAATACCAGCATATATGAAATTTTTTTTTTTCAACTTTGTTCTCTAACATTACAACTATATCATCCCAATCATTCAAACCTAATGCCACACTAAACTTGATAATCACCTCTAATTACTTCCCAGCCGTTACCCCTCTCTCTATTTCCTTTCTCAAACAAACCGTTGTTCTCAATCCCTTCACCTTCCCCCCTCTCTCTCTTTCTCGCCCTCTCTCTAAGCCAATACCAAATCTGAATTAACGCCATGGAAACGATCCAATTCGTGAAGGCACATCAGATCTTCAACAGCAAAGGCAATCCAACAGTTAGGGTTTGATCTCATATTTTGATCTTCCTTTCAATTTCTTACCACAGATAATTTTTTCTGTTTCAAAACCACTTCGATTTGTTTACAACTTTTGGGTCATGCATGGATTGAGTTTCCAACTAATAGGATTTGTGGGTATGTTTACATTTACGTAGGTTGATGTGCATCTATCAAATGGAAAAAAGGAAAGAGTTGTTGTTCTAAGTGGTGCATCCACTGGTAAGATCTCTCCCTCTGTCTTTCTCTCTCCCCACCAAGAGCATTCCGTCATGCCCCTTCCCTTCACTGTCTCCCTCTCCATCTCTCTCTCCCCAATTTTCTTCACTAGAAAGACTACAGTGTGTCATAAAAAAGCTCGGAACTTACTTTTCATTTCATGAAAAATAGATGAATTTCGTGCTTCGTATATTTCCTCGTTGGAGTTTCGGATAAAAAGGATTTCAGATGACATAGTTAAGCACTATGTCCTCTGTTATGCAATTGGCATGGGATGCTGGGGTAGCTCTTAAGTAATTTATTCTCTTCTCTATCTCACAATGATTAACAATTATAAGAGCTATTGATGTGTATTTTTATAGATTTTTTTTTTGGTTGAAATCAATTTTGTGGAATATAAATGGAATTTGATCCTAAGCTAGAAAAGGGTCGACACCTAGAGGCATACCATATATATCTTTCAAACTGATTTATTTGGTTTAGCCATTTTGAATTTCTCAAAAAGTTAAAAGTAGTTATTATTTTTATCCATT